GTGTACTTTTAAATGTTTTGTTATCTATTTTTTCACATCGTAATTCATGTTGCCTGAGTCTCTTTTCTAAGTTCTGGCAGGTCTGGCCAATATAAGAGCAGTGTTTTTTGTATACCAAAAATTAAATGAAATTTAAATAAATTATTAAAGAATGTGTAGTATATAAGTAACTGTTTTTGAAATTACACTGAAGATGAGACACACCATGGTCTCGAAACGTCTGTAATCATAAAATAAAGTTGTGTTAAACAAATCTGAGTGCTGTTTTGTTCATATTAAACAATTAATATTCGTTCCACTCATATCATAAAATTCTATATTATATACTCCAGAACTAAAAATGGATCAATCGTTTTTCAACACAGTTTACAATAAATATGGTTCAGAAGCCGTATACCATTGCAGACAAATAACATCAACTTTCAATGCATTAGCGAAGACCACTAACAAAAGGAATTTCTTAATTAAATGCAAGCACGAAAATGTTTTACCTAATTTTATCACCAACAATTTAACATTCAAAAATAAAAATTACAACAACATACAAAAACTAAATAACAGTCTATTGATCCTTCAGAATAAAATTTTGAAATATGAAATTGCAGACAGTGCAAAAGAAATCAATCGATTAAATAATAATTTAATAATATCCAAACGTGTGACACAGGACTCATTAGAAGAATTAGAATTCGATAAATTTATTTTTCTAGAACAAAAGAAATACCAAAAACTTTTTGATCAGATAAAGAACAAACAATGCAACAAACTTAAGAAACTAATAGAGCTAAGAGACAAAGCACATCCGATTATCAATACAGGTTTAGATTGGAACAAATGGGTTATAAACAAAACGGATACTCATATACCAGATAATATAAAAAAAGAGTGCGCGTAAGGATCACACGCGATTGAAGTAAAACTTTTAATATTGTATGAGTAGGCAATTAAGATAAAAATAGAAAAAAGATCATATTTGAATTTTAAAAATCATCTATTAATAATCACATAACATCAATAATAATAAGATCTCCTGAGAATCGGCACAGCTGTCCTACTGATATTAAGAGTTTGAATATGATGTGCAGCTTTCTTCCTAATTTTGTTACCTATCTCCAGGAAATTCAAACCATAAACGTAGAAGTTCATCATTATCGCCACGTTCTATGTACACTAATTTTCCTACACAACCATTAGCTAAGCCATCACTTACATCAATATTAGTTGTTATTATGTAAAATTTATTCAGAACTAAAAATATTTCATACGGCAAACACCCGGTATCAATTCGCTCCGAGCGTGACTGCAGCGCCCATGCAGCGCCGTAATAAATATGAACTAATTGGGGGTATCAGTGTGTGGTTTTCATGGGTTTTACATGTTTGTTAAAGAAAAAAGATATTAAATAATTGTTATAAATAATAATAAACAAGATACAGTAATAATGTGAACGCTGAATGTTTATTGAAATTATTAAATTTACTTCAACGTACCTAAAACATAGTTAAGTATAATGATTAATTAAATAAAGAAATGCAGTAAATAATTTTAAGGTTAAGTGCCTCAAAGCTTATGTCATAATCTCGGAATAGTTCTTAATAAAAACAATATAATAATGATAAATAGTATTTTATCAATAGAATAAGTAAATAATAAATTAATTTACTCATTTTTTTGGTCAAACTAAAGACTTAGACACTATTATAAAGACATAATTTAGACATTATTATAAAGACAAGACCAAGTTGACAAGTAGGTAGGACTCAATACCTCGACCGATTCATTGCATTTGTACGGATTTACACCCGTGTAGCCTAAAGAAATTTTTACACCCATATCGCGCCTAAAGAAGTTTTACTTCAATATATATTGGCTCTAGGTCCAAAGTTTTCAATCCAACAAAAAAATTTAACATTCAATGATTCAATTAAAGTTATTAGCAGCCTAGAAGCCGGCCTTAAATTAATCAAAGATCCAGAAGGAAAAGAAATCGAACGGATAAGATTTATGTTAATGAAACAATTTACAACATTTCAAAAAACTCACAAAAACAAAGTACAGTGCAAGAATGATACATCTTACATCTACCGGGACATCATAGCTACAAAAAAATTTCTTCAAGATAACAAACAATTATTAGTGTGTAAGGCAGATAAAGGAAACATTTCAGTGGTTTTGTTAAAAGAGGAATATGATAAAGAAGCAAAGAAAATTCTCAGTGATGAATCTCTATATGAAGAATTGGCATCGGATCCGAACAACTATCACCATAGACAGGTTTTTAAATTTATAAATTTATTAGAGAAAAAGGGACATATTAATAATACCATATCATTAAAGTTAAAAGTACAACATCCTTTAACCCCAAAATTCTATTGCCTTCCAAAGATCCATAAACCTAATTGCCCATTTAGACCAATTGTTTCCTACATTGATTCGCCATACTATTTTTTAGCAAAATATTTTTCAGATATTTTAAAGAATGTCACCATAGATTCTCCATACCGTTTAAATAACTCTTTCCAGTTAATAGAACATATAAAACATAAAGTAATTCCTCCTGATTGTTCCTTTATGAGTCTTGACGTCATTAATTTATTTAATAATCTTCCGCATGATCTAATTATTACAGCTATAAAGAAAAGATGGATACAAATAGTTGAATTCACTTGTTTACCGATGGAAATTTTTATTTCAGGAATAGAATTACTTTTAAAAGCATCATATTTCACTTTTAATAAAAAATATTATACGATGAAGAGAGGTTGTCCAATGGGCAGCCCATTAAGTCCTGTTTTGGCGGATTTAGTATTACAAGATTTGGAAAATCATGTCTTAAATTCTTTACCTTCCAAACCTATGGTCTATTTCAGATATGTCGATGACACATTAATATTACTTAATAAAAAAGATATAGATAATGTTTTCAACAAATTCAATGAGTACAATTCTTTTTTACAATTCACTCAGGAACTTGAAAATGATTCGACGTTACATTTTCTTGACGTAAAACTCATTAATAGAGGCGGTGTATGTTATACAGACTGGTACAGAAAAGATAGTTGGTCCGGGAGATACATTAATTTTAATTCGCATGTTCCTCTCAATATAAAAATTTCTACCATTCTAAATCTTGTAGATCACGCTATTTTATTATCTGATCCTCTGTTTTATGATGCAAACATAAAATTAGTTAAAACGATCCTACTTGGCAATAATTTTCCATATAAGTTAATTTGTCCAATTATTAAAAATAGAGTCGCAAAATTACTTGAACCTTTTGATAAGAAACCGGAAGAGCCTGGCAAAACAAGTGTTCCTGAAAAAACTTTTTTCATTAATTTTCCATATCTTGACAATAATTTTAACCAATTATCAAAAAGACTTTTCAAAAAACACAATATTCGTATTACTTTTTCTCCATTAAAACAATTAAAATTTTTATATTCCAAAATTAAAGATGAAACTCCATTAACAAAAAAGAAAGATATAGTTTATAAAGTAAATTGTTTGGATTGTAATTGCTCTTATATTGGCCAGACCTGCCAGAACTTAGAAAAGAGACTCAGGCAACATGAATTACAATGTGAAAAAATAGATAACAAAACATTTAAAAGTACACTTGTGGATCATGCTAATATCAACAACCATAAGTTTGATTTTGACAATCCCCAAATTTTATTCCATGAGAAAGACTTATTTAAACGGAGCATGGCAGAATCAATGTTAATAGTTCGGACTAACAATAGCATAAATCTAAGAACCGACACAAATATTTTACATGACACTTATATAAACATCATTAATAATTTATAATTTTTTTCATTTATCTTATTCGTTTTCAATAAATTAATTTGTTTTTTCATTTTTATCGATTTTTGTATGCGACAGCACTCCTTTTGTTTACATTATAATGATACCCATTCTGTCTCCATCTAGATAAGTACTTCAAATTTGTTTAGAATATTTCTGTAAGTGTTATATGTTTCTTTAGTACTGTGTCAAGCTTTGCAAGGAATAGTTGGTGTTTTTTGTATACCAAAAATTAAATGAAATTTAAATAAATTATTAAAGAATGTGTAGTATATAAGTAACTGTTTTTGAAATTACACTGAAGATGAGACACACCATGGTCTCGAAACGTCTGTAATCATAAAATAAAGTTGTGTTAAACAAATCTGAGTGCTGTTTTGTTCATATTAAACAATTAATATATATATATATATATATATATATATAATATAATATCATGATAATATCATGATGATATAAAATTAACTCTGAAATATGATAAATAAGGTGCACCAAAATATATTTTAGTTGGATATACATATATTTTAACAAATCTATAACTTAATTAACGATGTATTTTCTATACTAATAGTTAGATAAAATTATAATCAGTACATCAATTTTAATTACTGCTTACTTATTTACATTTTTGATCCGCGCTTTGACGCTAATTCATTAGTGTCGGTTCGGGTATTCTCGGCAGCCCGATGCGTCGGGTTGCTCGCGGCGGGAACGAGCGCCGCGAACGCAAGCTATTGAAATTTTCGTGTCGCTTCGACCATGTTCGGCAGGGTACGTGATTCTAAAAATGAACCCCCTCCCATTTTCAAACAAAAAAAAAAAGAAAAAAGTGCGCTATGGACATGCGCAGTGGACAAATTTGAAGGAAATTCGTGCGTTCGCACAGTATCACTCCGCTGCGCACATTTGTTCGTGACGCACCATTCGCCGCACGAATTCGTACAGTGGAGACGCGGCATTATGAATTTGGATTTATCTAGAATTGAACCTAGGGGTAAATTTTCATGCTACGCTCGTCGCGCCTCTGTAGCAGGAGCGGTAAATTAATCTTGAAATAATCGAAAAGCGCTCCAGTTTTCCATCTAGTACTATAATGCTTTTAAACTGAGTTTTTATTTAATTCTTTTAAGATGTTGAAGAATATTTTAGTGAAACCCGTATAATTTAATTTACAATATTTTATCATTTAGTGCTTACAATAGAGTTAGTTTTATTGCCAGCTTCTGATTATGGATGTTTTTACTATCACAGATTCCTCAGATGACGAAAGTTGCAATTCTAATAAGGTAAACTAATTTATCCACATAAAAGAGTTGTTTTTAAAGTTAAAATTTGATTTGTGTTTTGTAGAGCTTTGAATTGCCAATTATAGTCCATGTAGAAAGTACTTCGAAAAATGAAAATGCTGATTATCAAAAAAATGGAATTATAAAGAAGATAGGTGATTGTACTCTTACTTTAAGGAAACATCGAACATCTGATGTCATTGAAATCATTGAGGATAGTGATGATGAAAGTAAATACAACAATAGTTTACAAAAGACAATTGAATCTAATGATAGGTTATTTGTTACTTCATCTATAGAAACAAACCACCAGAATGTTAGCTGTTCAGTTAATGCAAGAGTTCCATTATTGTCTTTAAAAAGCAATAATGATATTCAAACAACAAAAATTAATATATCTGCAACACCAAACATTAGAAAATCAAATAATTTGGTAATTGGAAATAGTAAAATCACTGATAAGAAACATATTACACCAAAAAAATTAGAAGAAAACATCATATCATTGATAGAAGATTCAGACAGCGATACAGAACCAATTTCAAGTAAAAAACCCAAGTTAGAACTTAAGAGTAAATTTAAGGAAGAGAGAACTCTGCCTTTGATAGCATTCGTCAAGGATAAACCTGAAGAATCAACAAATCATGTAGATAAAATTAAAAAAATAAATGATGTATCAACAATTAATTCTGTGGTAAAGGTAAAGACGGAAACAATCAAGAAAAATGCTGATTTACGAACTGAAAAATCAAATAGTATTAATGAGGCTGCAATTCACAGAAATGATGAGGCTTTTAAAAACTTTCTACAAGCATGTAAAGAAGTTGAAAATGGTGATCGAATGAATTTAATCATTGAGAAAATTCAAAAGTACCATAATAATGCTCATTCAGATTACATAAAATCGAATTCATTTTATGATTTAATTCAACGATCCATAGAATCAATAATAAACAGTAAAAATTATTACCTGTATATAAAAGATTTTATAGAAGAATTACGGGCCAGAAAAGTGACCGTAAAAGCAGAAAGTACTACAAGTGCCACTGAATGTGATGATAACAGGTTAGATCCCATAAGCAAAAATAAGGAAGAAAAAATTCACAGACTTGAAAGTGCATTGAGAAAAATAATTAAGATATTAAAGAATCTAGAAGAAAAAGAAGTTGATTTTGATGATGAATATGATTTTACATATCTGCTACAAGATAGATATGAACGTCGAATGATAAAAGTAATTATTTTTATTAATTCTTTTGTTTATTAATTTTTTTGTTAGATAACTGTGTTTTTATATTGCCAAAATATAACTTATAATGTGCTGGGCGTTGCATTTTAAACTCATGTAGGGAATTCCAATTGAATGTTTTCATTTCACTGCTGAAATAATGATAATTATTATTATTTAAACCTTTATTGTTGAAACTATAAAGAATTATATTTTTTTACTTATTGATTTAGATCTACAATAAACTCTGTGAAATAACTGGTGAACAGCCAAGTGCAGGCCGTGCAATAAAACGTAAAATTTATGTAGCAATCAGTACTCACCAATCCATTAACAAGGCTGTTCAAGATTTTGTTAATAAAAAAAAGGAGTTTCCTAATTATCAAGATATTCTGAAAATTGTAAAATCGTCCAATGAACTAGAGTCATTAAAAATGAGTAATGCTGCTGAAGCACTTGAAGGTAAAATAAAAAGGCATTTTTTTGTCTTTTTTTTCTTAATGATTTCAATCTTTTAGCCCGGAAAGTTTTTGAGCACATAGGAAGTGAATTGCAGAGGAGGCGGCAAGCAGATTATTATTTATCAATATTAGATTATCTTCAAAGTGAAACTGATCCTGCTGAAAAAGATCCTTCTCTTAAAAATCAACTTAAGAAAAATTATGATGAGAATAAACATAAAATTCCGGAAATAATTAATAAGTATGTAAAGTAACTATTTAAATAGGAAAATATTGCTATAACTGAGCAAATGAGATTGTTTGCATTTTATGACTATTTGTTAAATAAGCAATGATAATTCAAATACATATTTATTTTTTTCACAATTAGAATTACTCGAATTCACTTAATTTTATTTTGTTATGTTTAGGTATGTAGAGAAGGCTGAAAGCATAGGCTTGAAAGAAAAAGAGGTCGATAGTGATCAAGCAAAGAGCGATGACGAAAAGGAATCTGAAGCAGAAGAAAGCGATGGCTCTAGTGCAGATATTATTTAAAACTAAAAAATATAAATTTTATTTTCATGACCATAGATTTTATTAAAACTTTAATGATAATTTAGGACTTTAATAATTAGGACAAATTTTGTTATTGATTTGCCATAAATAAAAATGAGTTTAGCTGAAAAATAATTAAAAAGCTTCATTTTCAATGAGTTTGTATAATTTTATAAACGTACAAAATTTATAAAGTTTAATGTAAAAAATAAAATATTCTTCAGATACATAACAAAAATAAAAATCACTCAATTCACTTCATAACATCTTTAAACTAATTGTATCTTGAATATCTTTAAAGAAGAGTATTATAGCAGAGCATTCAACGATTTCATAGTCATTCTAAATTTCAATCAAATTCGTCACAATACTTTGATAATTTAGTTCACAGTATGACTGTGTTCGTATCAGCCTCCAAACCCAGATCATTAATCAACTCTCTGAATATATTTGGATGTAGATTTTTATACAACTGTTGTAAAATAAACCAATCGCCTACATGACATGAATATACTAAATTGCGAATAACACCTTTGGAAATGCTGCAAATAATTAAATGGTTAAAATTTTTACAGTAGTGATTGAAGAGAGAAATGTGAAAAAGGTGTGTGATCTATAATGGATTCTCAATAAATAAACAGTTTATGAATTCAAAAGCTATACAAAATATAATTGTTGTATTTTTATACATTTAAAAAAAATGGACTGACTTAATCAAGAAAAATATGTACTTGGTGGTTGAATTTATTTAAATTTATGTATCTTACATACTTCTTTGTTTGAGCCATTAGTAGCCACACTCGCACTTCTGGACAACAGAATACAACCGCTCTATATATCAAAGCTAGGCCTGACAATAATGCTAATCCGACAAACCAAAACCAGAGAACTGCATATAGCTTTTCATTAACAATGTTCAATGGTAGAACACACAAAGCATCTTTGATCTGTTTAGTTCCTGATGGACCAATATCAGTGAATGAACATTTTGCTGTCTTCGGGAATATCTAGTAAAAATTTCATTATTAATTATTACTCTCTGAGCATTGTAAAATAATTTTACTTACTCTTGACATAGGATCATTATCTGACCAGTATGTGCTGGTCATTATATTTTCACTTAAAAACACCGAAACAGCAGGTCCATAATTTGCAAACTCACCACCCAAGAAGAGATTAACGATAAAGAATTGTCCCACCTCAGAGAAAAAATTGATGCGGATTAATTCATTTATATTATTTCACTAAATTGTAGGGTTTCTTTTTTTATTACAAGTACTTCAATTATAGAACTTTATGTAATAATAATTCTATTAATATTGAAATAAAATAGTTCTATTGTTAGATTTTATATGAGAGTGAAGTTATAGTTCTGACTCATGATTATTAATTCTTCCATCTACTTTTTATAATTAAATATTTCATTATCTCATTAAAGTAGCAGAAATTTTATTTTTGCAATACATACCACATTTCCAAAATTGAGTATTTCACAAATAACAAATCGAATAGCATAAAATGCATGAGTCGCTTTATTCAGTTCAGAAAGATAACTAACTAAGTAATTTCTCCTAGCGGTTGTCCATTGTTCTTGAGACACTAAAGGACCCACTGTATAAAATAAATATATCATTCATTTTCAATAATAATATGCAACATGAAAATAACTTGCTATTGACAAAAATATACTGATACATCAGTTCTCTCAAAAACTCCAATCGTATTACAAACTTCAAGCACTGATATAACAGTGTATTTGAATTAAAACGCTTTAATACAGCATCAAAACAAATTTTTCATTGTTAAGTTTAAAACTCGTACATAAATCTCAGATGCATTAAAAATTTTATATAATAAACATTTCTATAATAAACTTACCGAGATCCTGAGTTAAAGCCTTAATTCTTCCATTTTCCCAGCATTTCCACATATATCTGGGAATATAAAACATTACAGCTTGTAGGACGAGCACGATACTAACCCATTGATAGTATTTGTGATGTAATTCTTGTGTAACTAAAAATTATGCAAAAAACATTTAAATTAAAAATATAAATAGAACTACAAATCTTATCGGCTCAATATTTTACTATATTTTAAAATGAATGTGGATTAAAATCAGAACAAATACTTCTGTAAAATACACAAGTAGTGACTGAGTAATAAAAAGACAACACACAATAAAATTTGTATGAATTGTATTCAAAAATTTTAAGCTATAATTAATCTCGTGAAGTATTGTTGAATACAACAGTAGAATATAGTGATTAATTAAAGTGTGGATTTATTTTATTTAATGCCTATAGAACATATAGCAAAATTTACAATTTTGACAGCATAATAATGATTCCTGGGGTATCCAAATTTCATCATGTTGGCTTAATAATATAATATTTAGTTCATGTATATTATGCCTTTCAAAAATGTTACCAAAATGTTGCTAGTGTAGATGTAGTTTCAATTATACATATCTTTAGAGTTCAAACAATATTATAACTAATTAGGGTAAACAACTTACTGCCATTATGATCAGTAATAGTATAAGTACTGAATATCCAGCAAAACGTATTGAAAGTCTCTCTTTTTATACCAGCAGTGCTAATACAATCAATAGGATCCCCAATGTATTGTTTCGACGTAACCAATATCGAAAACACTATTAACAATATAACTGTGGCCTTATAATGGAGTCGAAACACATTATTGTCAATACATATGTTGTCTAGCTTGAGATGCTTAAGTACAGGATTGAAAACATTTATCATTTTGAAGTATTTTATTTACAACCATATCACTTGAAATGCGTTGTACAAAATATTTTTCCACATGCGTTTAAAACTTAACCGGATTTACTCGCCAATCGCAATAGAGGCGCTGCAGAGCTGTGAAGTGAAAGGCACCCTACCCCATAGATAAACAAGTATAATAGATCGCTATGTCTGGCGGTTTGACGTTACCTTGATTGAAATACAAATTTTTAAAAATAGATGGCAGCACATGTATAATATTTTAATTACCCCTGGTTTTACTTCTTAATTTGTACGTATCGTATACAGCCCCAAAAACCTGAATAATTTTTAATATTGGAAATAAGAACAAATCATACGAAATACAAAATATATATATTCAAAGATATTACATATGTTTAAAGAACAATTAAAATTATGTTTATATTAACAATTATAATTACAGTTATGGAATGTTTGAAAATATAATAATTATTATACATAATTATAAAAGTATTATAATTTCACAATTATGCTTAAATAATATTTCAAAAACTAAATATCTAAGTGAAGAAAATCACAGAAGTATTTAACTAAACTAAGCACAAATAACTGACTAATATTAATTACTTAATGACTAATATTAATATATTAAAATCTTAAAAACTAAGAAGAAACTACAAGCACAGGAGCACGCAATGAAATTACAAATTTAGAAGGAATGACAAATAATACAAAAATTTAAAGGGTTAAGAAAAAAACAAATAATTTGTTAAAAAGTACAAATACTTCACAAGCAAAAAAGTCCTAAAAACATAAAATATATATATTGATATCAAAATTGAGAGAAGTTCAAATTCCTAGGATTAAAACTCATTTACGAGACATTGTTCTTTATTAATTCTGCATGTAATAGTTATTTCGCTATCTAATGAATTAATAGTAAAGTTGCATTTAACAAAACCTTTGAATAGTTTCTGTACGAGTGTTTTATAACATTACATTTAGCCATGTTCCATCATGAAAACATTATCATTGAAATTGCCATAAAAGATCAACAAAGTGTTTACAATGAACAGAATAATGTTTTATGCACATACAATTGTTTATGAATCAAAAGATAAAAGCAATATTTTTGATTCCCAAGGTCGGTAACAAATATATCTTGAATTTAAACATTATATTGGGATGTTACACAAGTTTTATTTGAAGAATATTATAACACTAATCTTCAATCAAAATACATTAAAATATTATGTATGCTAGCTCTATATTTGATTTGCTCGTCAGTAGAATCCCTTTATTTATTTTAGTCTCTTTGATCTTAAATAAATTATTAATATAATTTGCTCGTCAGTAGAGTCTCCTTTCTATTTTTTGAGTTCACTCAATTCAATTCAATTTTATCTTCTTCCAACTTTATATTTGATTTGCTTGTCAGTAGAGTCCCTTTTGTTGAACAAATCAAAATTTAGGACTTAGGTTTGCTCGTCAGTAGAGTCCCCTTTCTATTTTTTTGAGTTTAGTAGAGTCCCTTTTGTTCTAACTTCTAACTCTATATGTAATTTGCTCGTCAGTAGAGTCCCTTTTATGTTAATTAGATTTGCTCGTCAGTAGAGTCCCTTTTTATTTCACTTTGTATTTAATGTTTATTCGTCAGTAGTCCTTTTTTTAAAATTAATATTGCTCATAAGTAGAGTCCTTTTTTAGCTATTTTAGTTTTTATTTAATGTTTGCTCGTCAGTAGAGTCCCTTTACATTATACTTTTACTTTGCTCGTCAGTAGAGTTTCTTTTATATTGAATTTTGCTTTGCTGATCAGTAGAATTCTCTTTTTGTCTCTAACTTAATTTTGCTAATTGAGTTCTGTTTTTCTCAATTTTGATAGTTTGCTCGTCAGTAGAGTCCTTTTTTCTCTATTTTGATAGTCTGCTCGTCAGTAGAGTCCTTATATCTCTGTTTTAATACTTTGCTTGCCAGTAGAGTCCTTTTATTTTATTGTCTTACTTTGCTCGTCAGTAGAGTTCTTTTTTATTTATTTTAATAGTAGTAGAGTCCATTTTGCTTTTACTTTGAGTTTGTTCGTTAGTAAAGTCCTTTCACATTTAATGTTAGGTTGCTCGTCAGTGAAGTCCTTTCTCTCTATTTTAATACTTTGTTCGTAATCTTTGTAGAGTCCTTTTATCCCTAATTTTGGTTCGCTCGTCAGTTTGCTTGTCCGTAGAGTCCTTTTTCTCTCCTTTGATAATTTGCTTGTCAATAGAGTCCTTCATC